TGGACGTTCTAGCTCGTGGTTGTATCTAATGCGATACATTCCGTTTACTTTCACAGGTTCAAACATTTTTCTAAGTATTTTCCTTTCAAACACTGCTATCTAGCTTGCTTCAGTTTCAGTTTTGTATTTATTTAACTTATTTTTTAAAGTTTTTCCTTGTATTTACTATGTACTTATTGTAGATTCTTATAAGTAGTATAAATAATTAGGAGTTCTACTCTGGCCATGATGTAGGGAGATATATAAACCACATTTGCACAATAGGCTGATTTCCTGCATTCTAAAGAGGTTACACTAAATATTATCCAATAAGTTATTTGCTTTTGACATTTTTTTGAAAAACTATACCATATATAACAAAAAACTCGTATGTTTGTATGTGAACATGCATCAACAGTTTAAAAAACAAACAACTTAAATATATAAGCACCCAGTTTTTTAGTTATTCATTCAGCTTTTTAAATAGAATCACTGTCGCTTCTTATCAGTTAACAAATAAAAAAAAAGCTTAAACTGAGAACAGTTTTTTGTTCTCTTCTGGCCTATTTTTATTTCTCTCATTCTCTATTTATTAGGGGTTCAATTTTTATTTGCTTGAGTGCTAAGACGCGTGTCCGACGAGGTGGTTGTGTATTTTCGGCTTTGTTTTGCTATCAAGTTTTGGGTAACTTGATTTTGCTGACGTTTTGTGCGACACAACGACGAAAACAGCTTCTACAGCTACAGCTCAGGGCACAAACAGTTCATGTGTTTCTTGTTTTTTATGAACTATTCACTCTGTTTATTAATTTTAAACAATTTATATTATCGTCGTCATATCAGCAAAAAACAACGATATGTGTGAAGAAAACAAAAATTGATATTAAATTGATATTAAAGTGAAATGAATTGAATTGAGTTGAGTTGAATCAAACGCTACAATATTATGAGAAAAAGCGATACTTGCACGTTATTAAGCGTCAGTGAAGCGATACATTGGCGAGAGTGTGCATCATGGCAGCGTACATAGCCGCATTGGATGTGGGCACCACAACTGTGCGGTGCTTCATAATAAAATCATGTAATGGAAGTCTTGATATACAGGGATCAGCTTCGGAATTAGTAAGTTAATTAAATGTTATTTAATAAACTAAAGACTCAAAATATATACCTACATATATTTATATACAAATATGCATTTATTTCAAGGTAACGTTAATAAATCCTCAGCCCGGTTATTTTGAAATTGAACCGGAAACGCTTTGGCTGCAAATCGTTAGAGTTATAAATGGCGCTGTAAAAGGTAAGATAATTCATAGGTTAAAGGAATTTACAATAAAAAACTATTAACTAATTTGTTGCATAAGTGATTGCTATTACTAAATATAACTTAACGAGCTGTTAGTGCTTAAGTGCTTTTAAATTTTTAAGTATTATACGTACACATTTTTCAGTAAAAATAGTTTAAGATCCCAAACAGCTTAAGCTAATATCGGTTACTTTGCATGTGAGTGCTTAATCTATATATTTATGAAATATATTTAATCATAACATCGTAATCAGATTAATATAAATTTTCAAAACAGTTCTGATATGTTTGTGTTTATAAATAGATAAGAATATTTTATTTTGTATTTGCTTATATTAATTAATGTCAACAAATATTATTATTTAGACGGATTCGAATAGCAAAGAAAAGACAAGGACAAAAATTTGTTGTATGGTCAGCCAAATTTCAATAAATTAAATAAATTTTTGTCCTTGTCTTTTCTTTGCTATTCAAATTCATCTAACATTTAAATAGTTTCTTTTCGTCATAAGGACGCGTCACTCTCGGCAAGAAAAAATTAACAATAAAATATTATTATATTTCTATGGATATGAAATTAACACATACCTTACTTCCCGGTTACTTAGTTTTAATAGCGGATAAATGTGTTATGTTATTAATATTATTAAATAATAGGCTATGAATGTACCTATTGTGTGCGTAAAGACCCAACTAAAACAATTCTAGTCTAAACTAATTATATACTATGAATTTCGTATTTTGCTGGGGGCTTAATTTTACCTATTTAATTTGAATCTAAGATCCCGCTTTGAAGGTAGTCGAGTCTTGCCGCCGCTGGGCAGTCGCATAGTCGACAGGAAGCTCTTTCTACCGCACCTATAATTTCGAAATGTGTTATATATATTAATATTAACAAAGATACACTTTTTTTTTTAATAGAAGTTTACCAAAAAAAAGTATTTAGTCATATTAATTTTATTTCCTGGATGCAAAGGTGTAAAAACTGCGCCAATTAACGCAGTATCAGTCTTTTAAATATCACATGTAAGGTGATATCAAAAGTACTATGTGAAACGTTGAAACTAATCGTCAAAAAACTGATTGAATCTTATTAGCGTGGCCTCAGACCTGGCAAATCTACCATTGACTAGATAATCACTGTGCGTCAAGTCCTGGAAAGGACCCAAAACAAACAAAAAAAAAAATACAAATTGATACACACCATTTATTTGTCGATTTCAAAGCCACTTTTGACACTACGACTAGAAGAACTTTATACCGCTATGTCTGAATTTGGTATCTCAGTAAACCTTATACGGCTATAAGTTTTACCTTATACGGCTATAAGTTTTACTGAGTTAAGCAAATACCACCAGCTCCGATAGAATTGTAAAAAATTCTCTCGTGGACGATGTGTCAGACATCATTGTCACTCAAATAATGTCAAATAATTTCTTCAATTTAAGTTTGGAAACTATTATCCGAGCAGCAGTTTTTAAACCGGATGGCATGATATGTGATAAAAGTGTGATGCAGCTTGCGTGTGCCGACGAAATTGATATCGTTGGCTTGAAAACGTGTGGTTTTTGCAAATTAGAATAACAAGAGAAGCACAGAGATCTAGTGGCAAATGCGAAAAAAAATTCAGTCTGTCAAGAAACAAATCCCCTGAGCGTCTTGGGATCTACGTCACTATTGAAAATTACAAGTTTGAAGTTGTGAAAGATTTTGTTTATCTGGGAATCAGCGTAAGCACTGAAAATGAACGTCAGCCTAGAAGTATCACTCCTGTCGACAGATGTTATTTGGCGCTAAGTAGGTAATGGAGAAATAAAGCCCCCTCTCATTAAACAAAAAACACACTCTACAAATCGATGTCGTTTATGGCATTCGGAAGAAAAATTCTTTGGAATATATATGGTCCCTTATGCATTAGTATTGAGTATAGAATTAGATGGAACGATGACCCATATAAGTTATACCGCGACGTTCACATAGTTAAGCGCAAAAAATTTCGAAGTTTCGCTGACTTGGTCATGTCGTGCGATAAGGAAAAAAAGGTTTATGTCACTGTATCAGGGAAATAAATTTTTTTGCTTTCTTCTAACCTATATAATGTCAGCTCTAAGCTGTAAGCTCTAAACTGTTGAACAAAACATAACGCAAAAAGTCAAAGTAGGTTTGGAAGGCACTAGCATTTTCGAATATAAAAAATATTTTGTCCTAATGTTTGAACACGATCTTCATAATGCATCAGTATTTTGATATATTAAAAATGTTTAATTAAAATTGACCATTGTAATGCTCAACCACCAATTTGTTTAATTTCAAATTTACATTTGAAAACTATAACTTTTTTTTAAAAAAATGTTTTATAATTTTTTTTAGAAAACATTATTTATCTCAAAGTTCTTATTCAATTCGTTTTAGTCGGTTTTTCATGTTTAATTAGATTATTTATTACTAATATAAATTAGTTTCTTGCACATGTTTCTTTTTTGTTTTATTTTTGTATCTTATATTTTTTATTTCTGTACATTTTTATATTTATGTAAAATTAATAAAAAAAATTGTATAAATATGACTATCAATATATGTGAATATGTGGAGGAGCCTTTTAAGATGCTTATCTAGGTTTAATTATTTGCAAAAGAGTTTTAATTAATCATGCATAGATTTTTAGCTATCGGCCTTTGAAGCACCTATTGCTGTTTTCTACAAATATTTCTTACTTTATAATACTTATATTTGCTATTTGGTATATAACCTAAGTTTTATGGACGACCCGTTTTTGAGATATAGTGATATGTATGACTGCATGAATTTTCACATAAAGTTCTATAAAACACCCTGTATCTCGGTTTATATTGGATATGGAACTTAGTCCCCATATCTTGTTTTTAATGTCTTGGACCAAGAAATAATTTCATCCAGTATTTATGGCAGTTATGGTGGAAACACCCTGTATAAAATATTGTTTATGTTAACTTTTTTAACCTTAATGAAGTGTTCATATAAACTTGATTTTATTTACAAAGTCTTGAAATGGAATATGTCTGTTTTGTTAAAAATACAAAGTACAACAAAACTAATTAAATATAAATTTAATTAAAAATTTTTTTAATATCTTAAATAAAATTTAAATTATAAAAACATTTTTATATTTTTATTATACTATTATAAAGTAATTAATCTCTTTAGATGCTCAGTTGAAACCTTCACAGATTACTTGCTTAACCTTATCAACCCAACGATGTACATTTTTGACATGGAATCATCGTACTAAAGAATATTATCACAATTTTATAACATGGAAGGATTTACGTTCGGATACGTTAGTAGATCAATGGAATTCAGGACTTAAGCTGCAAACCATGAATAAAATTTCATATGGCCTATATCTTATAACACGTAGTAAAAGATTTTTAGCTGGTAGTGTGCTAAAAATGATGAATGGTCAGGTTAGTTATTTTTGTATATATTGATCACATTAGTATTTAAATAAATAAAAAAAAATTTTAATAAAGGTCACTTTACGTTTATTGTATGAAATCGAAAATAATATTCGATTGCAACAAGCTTTAAAACAGAAGACTGCACGAGTTGAGCTCTTAGATTCTTGGATTTT